TAACAGCCTTCCCGTTATTGAATGAAAATACATTTGTAGGGGTCGTTTACCACGCCGCTCTTCTGGGGTTTCCTTCGCTTTTAAGGAAGGCGAGGCTCAGCTGCCGTTGGGACTCGCTCTCTTCCTGCAGACGGTGTTGGCCTAAGTTTGGAGGGTGCTTTTATTCCCCCTCACCCACACCCAACCCCCCCCCGTGACACCTCTCTGCTTGCAGCAACTCTGGCCTCGGCACCCAGCAGCCCCCTTTGCTGGCCCGACGGTGTCTGCGCAAGGCGAGCACCTCTCCGGGAGCTGAAATCTGGGCTCAGGAGAAAGCCCGAGTCTCCTGAGGAAGTGTAAAAGCTTTACACCGCCTCTGTTTTGCTGGGGAGCCTTCAGGAGAAAACACCGGCTCGGTCTCATTTTTCCTGATTTTTTTCTTTTCCCTGAGGGCAGGGGTTTAGGGGAACCATTCAAATCTGGGTAATGCAGGGCAGATTAGTAAGGAGTTTCTTTGGAGGATACGAATAATACGTCCGGAGGTCCTCGGCTTGGTTCGGGAGCAGCTTTGCAGCGTTGCTGTCGCTAGGAATACTTTCCGAGGGCGAATCTAGCGGGAGCTGCAGCAGCTCACCTGAGTTTGCAGAGAGCCTGAGACGGTGTCTCTGCGTTCTCGGCTGCCTTTTCCCTCGGCAGGGGCGGTAGTCAGCTGTCTCATACCATCAGAGATTTATCCGAGGTTTTTTCCCTAGCACGCGTGGGAAAAGGGTCAGAGAACAAATACAGGGGGAAGTCAATGCAAGGAACAAATCAGGTACGTTACTGGCACCAAGCACCTATGGGTGACTTGCCTTTCCTATGAGGAAGCCCCAAAGCGGTGGTAGTGCTGGTTTCCCTCCTGAACCCGAGCGAACTGACAGTCCGCTAGGCCGGGAGGGTGCCTGGACAAACCAGCTCTGTAAACAGCCTATTAAAAATGGCAGTTTTCCCAGCAGCGGAGGGCCCCTTCTGTCCCGGGGGTTTGTGGACCCTAACCCAACTAGTGTCTGCCATACCCTTAATATAAAGGCAGTAATCTGCTTGTATTTGAGACATGGGATGGACGTTATGTTAAGACTGATCCTGCTGTTAACCTTCATCTCTCTGTGATACCTTAGAGCTTTTGGTGGATATTTTCTGCCGGATAGTTTACGTTTTGCTTGAGAACAGCAGAGGGTGGCCCATGTAACGCGTGGAGGGGTGAATGCGCTGGCGAGACTTTCTAGGTCTTTCCGTTAACGCAGTTTAACGGATGAACAATGTGACCTACATATTTCCTTTCCATGTTCTTCCAGTGCTCTTGAAGAGACTGCAGATATAGATAGCGTTACAGCTGCCTCCCATGCCTTGACAGCCTCTCATTTCAACAGCTTCAACAATTCACAGAATCTTAACCGAGCAAGGAAGTTGCTTGCAGCCACCGAGGAGCCAATTTGTTGTCATGCTAATAACTGATACCTGCAATATGCCTGAGAGTGTTTCCTAGCTGAAGGCTTTTTGTTACAGGAAGGCCTAAGGAATTATGGCTCTTGGTAAAACTCAGTTTACTGAACATCCTGAAAACACTTGAAACGGTTCATTTTACTCCAACTTTCAGTTCACCTCTGTTATTTTGATTTCTTTTCAAGAGGTCCGCTGTTGGTTCTGTGGGCATTTTTTCTTTAATAATTGTACTTAATCCTTTCGTTAATATTAGAGTTTTTAATATGAAAAGGTGGTAACAAAACAAAAGGAGTCAGTCAATTGCTGGACTAAGCAAAGATGCTAAGCTGCTAACTTCCACGTGTTAGATACCACCAAAATTTTTTCTTTCTGGGTCCGTCGTGACAGAGAAAGCAGATGGCAGGGGAGAGGTATAATTTGATAAACTGTGTCTCTAGGGTTTGCCAGATCTCTTGTGAAAGAGCCAATTGTTCCTGAACTTTGGGAATTTTGCCTTCAATATCCATATAAACTATCCTCTTGGATGCTTGAAATCCTGCAAGCGCTGTAATCCCAGTGCGCTACTTGGACATCAAGCTGAGTGTAAAAATGCAACCTTGTATATATCTGGCTTACTGTCACCTTAAGCAGTTGTGACTGGTTAGGAAGTCTGTGGCGCTGTCCTCATTCACACAGCTGTTTCTCCATCCTGCTGTGTTTGTACAGCCGCGTCTGGGATTTGGCGTGACAGAGGCATCTGGCCGGTCGGTGGTGCTGTGAGATGCAGCGTGCCCAGCCCAGCGTGTACAGAGCTACGGGACCTTTGCGTCACACACACCTGGGTCTCCTGCTACACAAAATAAGACAACCGTGTGAGTTTACAAAGGTTTAGAGCAGCCCTGGGGAAGCTTTTTTAAGGACTTGCATCCCCCAGCAAGACAGCTCTTGAAAGCTAAGGCCTTGGAGAAATAGGCGTTTTCATAGGATGCCAGGAGTCTTTCTTCCACACAAGCTCATGGCCTTTGAAACTCAGCTAATCATTTCCTGGGGTCAGTCCTGAAATCTGTCCATGAGATCTGTCCCATTTGCTGTTGATTATTCTAATTTTCACATGGGTATCGTTGCTCAGACTGCAGACCAGCACGTTTGCCAACAGTGTGCGCTTAAGGAGTTCAGCTTGCAGCGCTTGAACCTTTTAAAATCCACTCAGTCCCTGAATACAGTGGGTTTACCAGAAGCTTTCACACACAGGTGAATATTGCCAAGACTGTTATCTCAGGCTCTACATGCCTCTGTGCCCTTCCTTTAAGGAATACAGCCACCGTGTGCCTTACTCACAGTACCTGCTCGCTATAAGCGCTTGGCAGAACACTTTTTCTGGCTTCAGACGAACCCCTCCAAGCGAGTTGTTACACAATCTGCATTCACAAAAGCTTGCGCCTTAAGGATGCCCCATCAACAACCAGTACGGGCTTCCCGCAGGCTCAATTACAGCCTCCTTATCCCCTTCCTGCTTAAGTTTTTAGCTGCCAATATAATTAATCTGGTTCTACTTCAAGCCTCTGAAGACCTCATACTTAGCTGATTTGCAGAGATTTTGAGTCTTCTGCCATACTGAAGTACCCCCCTGGGAAAAGGAGGGAGGGGGAAAAAAGAGGAAAAGGAAATAAAAATCCTTGAACTCCACACAGACAGACTGATTGGGCTCAAAGGACTCGAGGTCTTGGCGCTCGAGCGCTCTGGAGTTGCCTCCTGGGGAGAAGGTGAATTTCAGCATTAATGCGTGGTTGGAAGGGCAGGATATGCCTGCGGAGCTGCTGTTCCCCTGCAGCCCAGCCTCCCCCAGGTAGCAGCAGGAAATGGGCCTATGAAGTGAGGGTAGCATTTGATCCAGGCTGGCCATTTTACATTCCAGTTGTTGACCTATTTCTAGACTGTTATCCCACTTGTTACCACTTACCAGGGAGAGATCTTTGGAATTGCTGCTTCTATTTCCAGTCTGCTTTCCCTGCGTGCGTGTTCATCTTTTTCTCTCTAGCAAATAACTTGTAGTAGGCACTCCCATTTCAGTCACTAAAACTAAACAGCAGTATACTTCTCAGTCCTGACTCAGTCAGATCTTCTCACTGCCTTGAGGCAGGACACCCTTGCTGCTTTCCCATGACATCAGTGGACTCCTGCGGGCAGTGCCTCTTCGTCGTGGCATCAGGTTGCCTGCAGACTGAAGAGGACAAATGTGACATTTCGGATTCTGTTTGGAATTTTTTCTTTGCAAGTGTGAGGGTAAGAAATGCTGCTTTTAAAAAGAAAGTAGGACCTTTTGAAATCGGTCGTCTTAGAGAAGTTACACAAAGTCATCAAGTTGGTTGCCTTTGCCAGTGGATACTTCTTAATGTCCTATGAAATCTAACAGATACTTTCAAAGAAACTTACTGAGCTTAAAGAAAGGAAATGAGAAAGCAGCTCCAGATGTTACAAGACTGTTGATTTCCTTAGGCAAGTTTATGGTATTTTTCTAGGTTTCTAAGAAGATTTTCCTTTCCCCCACATTTACATTGCTTTTAAAATATGCAACACGGGAAACAGCTTACATTGCAGTAATTGAAAATCCAAGAGTCTTGTCACTACAGAATGCTTTCAGGACTGTTTTTTTTTTGTTTGTTTGGGTTTTTTTATTATTATTATTATTAAATAACAAGTGTGGTCATTTGAGATGGTTCTGTTAAATAATAATTTGGCCAGTTTTTTGGTCCTGTACATCACGGAGGGGCTTCAGCTTACAACTATGGCCAGCACTACCTAGAACTCAGCTGACTGACACAGTGACTGCAAAATGAAGTCAACTCACTTCCCATTGTTCTCCACTCTGTGGCACTATTAAAGGTGACATACAGTGAGAGGAAAAATAGCATTGGCTTTCTTTTGCTTCAGGAGAGATCAGTTTAGTTTCCTCCCTGCTCTTCCCTATCCCAAAGTTTTTCACAGTTAAGAAAAATTCAGGTTTTTTTATGTGATGAGACAGTATCACCATTGATGAGAGGAACACTGAAGTGCAATCAAAGAATAAGAAACTGAGAAGGAAAAAAGCTTTTATCCCACTGATGAAAATCAAGTATTTGAGTGACTACAGAACACTGAAGAAAAGATTTGTTCAAAGTCCACCTAATGCCAGTAAAGCTCTATAAAACCACAGGAAGTCCAAACAGTCGTATTTCCCCAAGGAAAAGCTGAAGTGTGCTCTCAAGTCCTCATCTTCTAAAAAACCAGGGTGTGGGCAGTAGAGTCAAACTCTCACCGCTGCTTTGAAAGGACCCTCACACATGGTCTGTACCAGAGGAACGAGCTCCTTGCCCATCCTCTTGTCCCAAGGCTCCTCCTTGGCCCAGGGGTGTTTTGTCCCAACACACGCGGCTGCAGCTTGTGAATTTCAGTTGTGAAACACCAGCAATGAAAATAATTTGTCATTATTTCTGGTTGCCCTTGAGATCTCACTTGTTTGTAATTTCCTTGCAATGGTTTTTCCTACCTCCCTTTTATTTCGTTGGAAGCCTGTTTGACAGAGCTCAGTGTTACTGAGCTAGACTTCTTCTCAAATCCTCTGTGTCCACAGTTCTCTAGTTTGGGTGACAAGTTGAATTTCATTCCAGAACGACCTCAGTGAGGACAAGGGCCCCGTTAAAAATAGAATAGTATAACTTGTCAGTTCAGAGCATGTCAGCAGTCAGCCTTGAACTCCTGAGCTTTCAGGAACTCATGCTCGCATCTGCCATGTGAGAGAGTTAACGTTTTTAGGCAAGTCCGGGAAAAGATACGACCCACCTCTTCGTTCTCAGAATGAACTTGACTGTTGTTGTTGTTAAAGCCGCTCCCAGCTGCTGCCTCTGCTGAGATTTAAAAGTTGTAGCTACATAAGCTTTTGTTATATAAAAAAAAAAAAAGTCCTTATGTCCTAAGCCTAGTTCAAGGCTAGCGTTGGCCTGAAAGCAGACATACAACTTTGGCAAGAAGTTTTGTGACTTGTATTACTGTAGAGAAATTATGAGTGGGGGGAAATAATCATACCCGCCAGCATGTGCACGTGATCGCTTTAAAGCAAGTCAGACTTACCTGTGTCAGATTAAACAAGCTGCCTGTTTTTCTTATGTGCTCCTAGGACACCTTGTTCCCTTATATCAAAGACAACGTTAAGGAGTATCTGCGCGCGCACTGGGAGGAAGAGGAGTGCCAGCGGGATGTCGGTCTTTTGAGGAAACAGGTTAGTTAGCTGAGCTATGTAATGTCTTGATGTGCTTTTACTGCCTACCTGGGATTTCAGGTCACTCAAACTTCCCTGCAGTCACTCCAAACAAACTGATGAGCCTTCTCTGTCCCCCGTGGAGGCTAGTTCCCTCAAAGCTCTGCCTCTATCTGACCGGGGACTGGGCTTGTCCTCTGAGAACAGCTGCTGCTTGGGTGGTAGTTGAGGCGCAGCAGGAGAGCTTCCCTCTGCTCAGCGTGGCGCCTGCATGGCGTCTGTTCCCTTGCTGAACCCACCACCTGCAGCCTCCAGGTACCTGTCTGGGAAGCAGCCTGGAAAGCAGCTGGCAGAGGACTTGTCCTGCGTGAGGTAGCGTATTCTGGCCCTATGCAGTGGAATAGCCTCAATTTGAGACCTGTAGATGTCTGAAGCAAATGCAGGCTTTTGCTACTTTGTCTTAATTTCAGTAATTAAATACTTAAGCAAGTATAGTCCTTGTTAGACTATTTACAGTATAACCACGGCAGTGCTAATCGTTAGGTTTGGAAAGTACAAAGCAAGTCTTTCTAGAGCCTGCTGAAGTATGAACTCTCCACTTAGAAAAGATGCAAACAATATAGCCCTCCCTCACTTCCGGTCCTTAATGGGAAGCACAGTGTCCTGCACTTAGGAAATACATTGATGCAGATGGTAGACTGCTTTCCGAAATTGACGTCTTCACACCACTCTCTCTCTTCCCCCACCTCTTTTTGCGATTCGTAATTTGCAGGCTCTAGAGGACTCCAGCTTGGATGGAGTTGTACCAATTCCTTTGGAGAGCGGAAGTGGGGAAGAAGAACTGGAGCGGGTTATCCAGGCTGTCGTAGACAACGTGTGCTGGCAGATGTCCCTTGACAGAAAGACCACGGCCCTGAAACAACTGCAAGGTCACATGTGGAGGGCAGCCTATGCAACTGGACACGTGAAAGGAGAGTGAGTAACTTGTGCATTTGAAACCTTTCCCTGGAGTAGCTGCATAAGATCCCAGAAACAGCCCCATGTACAAATTTAAATAGGCTAACTGCCTAGGTGGAGAAGCCGGTATATTTACTTTCAGTGGTGACTTAAGCCAGGCCGCTGCTGCTGTGGATCCAGTTGCAGACATTTCATTTCGAAACTCGGTCTTGCCAAGAAACACAAATCCATTGAGTTTAATCCTTGTATTCTGTGAACCAATAGCTTACGGTGACCTAGGGACTGAACAAATTGTCCTAGTCCCCACTGGGAAAACTGCAGGTGGCTGGAGGTGTTTCTCCTTAAGGAAAAATCAGCCTGTACATGCTGGGAAACAGCTACTTGTCCAGGCACCAGGGCTGGGTCTGTGAGGGAGAGGGGATCTGAGAAACAGAACATCTGTGGGAGACGTGACACAGGACAGTTATGCTTGCACGATTGCTGGAACATGGACCTGAGCCACATATCTTCCACTGTACAAAGTCAAAAGATACTTCTGTATTTCTGTACAGAGATTTCTTCCTAAATCAGGAGATTGAGGCACAGGTATGCACTTTCCACAGTTCTTTCTATTGTCTTGTTTTTTTATTTTTTGGGGCGCTGAGTTGCAATTACATTTTGGAACAAAACTAAAAAAAGCTGGAGTTGCAGGAATAACAACCTTGACTGGCTGTGGGTCAGGTTCTTTCACTCATTTCCTCCTGCTTTGTCTCTTCCCTGAGTATCTCTTGCCTTTCCACTTCTTTTTGTCTTCCTGGTTCCTCTTGGCATTTTGGCCGTAACCCAAGGGCGTACAAGTAGAGACCTCTAGAGTTAAGCGTAACCTTCTTATTTTTATCCAGAGACACTTGGTTAAAGTATGCACTTGAGGTTCCTTAAGTACGACGTCTGTAAGTTTGAAGTATTTTGCCAAGGGGGAAATGAGGAAGAGGCAAAAGAGCACCGAAAAAGATGTAAATATCCACCAGAGAAAGTCACAAAAAAGAAAAGCAAGGGAAGAGGGGCAGCCATCCTGTTTTTTTTATTTTATAAACAGGTGGATTGTCTTTATGTTGAAAAATAAATACAAGGGTTTTGCTCTTGCCCTTCACATCCGACTGATCCTCAGGTAGAACCTGTTAAAAATATTTTTACTCAGGGCCATATCATGGACAGACATTTATACTGGCCCAAATATCATGGAGCCAGCCTTGCTGCTTAGCAGCAAACACAGAGAGAGATGTGCTTTGCTAAGATCTCCCCCTCACCAAACTATATCCACCACATCAGTGGCTGAAATCCAGGCACTGAACTCAGCATACAGAAACGTGAGGGTGGCCGGCAGTTTTTGCAGGTGCTGCGTACCCTCAAAGAATTTTCAGCTGACACCAGATACATTTAGTAAGTAATTACACAAAAAGAAGGCGGGGGGGAACTTTTGGTTTTTTTTTAAATGCCTAGCACAACAGAGTACTGAGCATATGGTCAAGAAGTCAGGGATGAAGAAACGTCTGGCTGATGGCTAGAAGTCTGCAAAACCCTCAATCCTTTTGCATCTGTTTTGGAGTCCTGTTTCTTCAGGCACTACAGGTGCTCAGATCCCCTTCTCGGGGCGGTACCTTTGGGCCTTGACTCAGGTGGCCACATACAGTTAGTTGTTCAGTATAAGGAGGAGGGCTGCTGTTTGGACTTGGATGTAAATGAGGTTCCCAGAGGATCACTTTCCCTCCCGTTCCTCTCTCCATCCTTCTGCTGCTTCAGACTCAAATCACTTCCCTGCCCTTTTAAGGCTCAAAGTGGCTTTTCCTCCTCAACCACTGTGTGTATTGTCAAGGTACTTACCGTCAGCTCCGCTTTGTTACTCCTTAGCATCCTCTTGGCTTCAGTTTTCCCTGGCACAGTGGTGATCTCTCCCCTGCTGCTCTCCTAAGCGTCCTTCCCCAGCTGTCCCTTCAGTGCTTCCCCATAGCGCAGGGGCTGTCGGCACTCCTGCTGTGGGGCGGTCAGTGCCCCCACGCTGCTGCATATTTTACGGCGTGCTCACGTTTGCCTCTCTCACTTGCTGCCCTTCAGCTTGCGCTGTGGGCCCATCGGGTGGGACAGCATTTTTTGTCCTTTTTTTTTTTGTAGCACTAAGCAGCGCAGGTCCTTTACATATGTACCAGTGTACCAGTGCGGGGTTGCAGAGATCCCATGGTACAAATGAGAAGGGTATGAAGGAGCTGACACACCTGTCCGTTACCATGCACTGGTTGCCATGGCTTTGGTCCTCCTTCCCTCTCTTGCAGCTTTGTTACCTGCTGCTGGGCTTGGCTTCAGGTTGCTACTGCCTGGTAGTGAAACGCGGCTGCTGTTTTGGGACTGGTCTGCCCGTTGCTGTCTGCAAGGCCAGAGGAATAGGGGGAGGGATGCAGATGCCTAGTGATCAGGAGGAGTTGGTTCACTCCTCTGCAGTGAGGTTAAGGCAGGGACCCATTTGACCCAGTGCTGTAAAACTTGAACTGGTCACTGAACTGACAAACTCCTGTGTCCCTTAAGAAACACTCCGTTCCTGATTTGTTTTCTAGCTTGTTCACAGAGCTGCTCAGTTAGTTCCTGCAGCTGCAATCTCATCTCAGCTCCTCTCTACGCGTGTTCGGATGGCGTTACCCTGTACGCATACAGCTTTTGGGCATAGCTCTTACCAAAAATTAAACCTTCGTAGCTCACAAGGCAGGTGGGATTCAGGATGTGAGAGCTTGCCGCCTTCTCTGTCCTCCCCCTTATTCCTCCCTCCTGCAGGAAAGTGGCTGGATGCCAAATGCCTGGAACAGCTCATCGGAGCTACTGTCTGTGTAGCCGTCAATGAGCTGCTCAGTCAGTTGGAGAATATATAGAATATATTATGGGGTGCTGAAATACTCTCCCCAATTGCCAAAGCCCTGGGCAGATTGTACCGATGGGACTGTTTTCACAGTGCGTGGCTAAAGGTGCCTCCCCCAGGTGTATCTGGGTTTGTCCTTACCTACTGCCCTGTTTCGCTTCAGAGTCTTTGAGGATGTGGTACCAGCTATCCGGAAGTGGAGAGAAGCAGGGATGAAAGTCTACATCTACTCTTCGGGGAGTGTTGAAGCCCAGAAGCTTCTGTTTGGATACTCTACAGAAGGTGATATTCTAGAGGTAGATAAGATTATCACTTTCCTTACAGATTCTCCATCTGCAGAGCAGTTCGTTCCTAGCGGTGTGCTCGGGGAGGTGGTACAACTGCTCTTGCTGTGATGCTTCACAAATAGTCTCAGACAGGAAAGTGAAGGTGGGCTTGACCGCAGGGTTCAGCTCAGCCAGTTAAACGCACTAGCTGGATTCCTGTGTCCCCAAGCTGTGCACCAGTGAGAGCAGAAAGTGTGTCTGGCAATCAGCAGCAGCGTGGTTAACACAGTTGGGCAGGGATTTGGGAGATGACCATTGTCCTGTTTCAGGCAAATCTTCTCTGCCTAAGTTGGTCCCTGTTCTGGGAAGTCCCGGAGAAAAAGACGACCTAAGCAGTGCCATAAGGAACGGTGAGAAGCACCTGTTCTCACAGAGCTTGTGAACATCACACTCTAGCTTAAAGACAATGAGAAGACCTCTGTAAAACGCTTCTCCGTGCCAGTCTGCCTCTCACTATCCTGTTAAAAGTGGCACGTTTGCCCACGGACATGATCTGCTCAGTGCCATGGCTGACAGCTGGCTGTTGGTCCCTGTTGTTGTGGTGGGAATGAAAGGAGAACTGCCACTGGCCATGCTTTTCAGACAGTGTCTAGCAACTGCTTCTACTTTTCTCTCTCTTTCAGCTCTTCGATGGCCACTTTGATACGAAAATAGGACCCAAGGTAGAAAGTGAGAGCTACAGAAGGATTGCCGAGAGTATTGGGTGTGCAACTAACAACATCCTCTTCCTGACCGATGTCCCTCGAGGTAGGTGGCCTGCTGGTCCTGCTTGCTCTCGTGTCGGGGGAGGAAGGTGGCCTTCAGCCACATATTGCTAACTGGCCACAGGCACCCCAGAAACCCTGCAGCCTGCCTGCCTTCTGTGGCATCTGCCTAGCCACTCTGCCCTGCTTCTTCTTTAAGCTTTCATGCCCTCCAACAGCAGCAGTTCTGAGTGACACTGTGCACGGAGGAAAAATGGGTCAAGCTGAAAACCTGCCCTTGCGCCAGGAAGCAAGGAGAAGCTGTTAAAGCAGAGCATGGTGTTTGCTGAAACGGTTGGCCTGCCCCATTTACAAATAGAGTCAGGGGTTTTCATGACCCATGCTCGATTTCCACTGGGAACAGACCACGTCTGCTGTGCTGCTGTGTCACGTGTAGTGCGTGGTTCTTTGTGCCACTAGCACTTATAGGAAGACTAGCACAGCAGTAGGAAGACATTGCTGCTGGGCTCTGGGAGTCAACTTTGAGAGAGCCTTGCCTTACCTGGGAACATCTTTCTGGCAGGAGTAGCACTGGATTGTGGTCTCGGTCTGAGGCAGCTCAGCCCCCGAGGAGTTAGCCCCTATTCCCTCCTCAGCCCTGGCAGCAGAGCTGGTGGGAGCTCGCAGTTATGTCCTTCCCCCGCTATAGTCTCCCTGTTGGCTCTTGCTGTGCTTGGAGAGCGAAGGAAGCTTGTCAGAACTGACTTCTGGCAGGAGGCGAACCAGGCCGGTTTCACTGGGGCAGCATTTGCTGAACAGGTTGTTCCTCACCAGCTGTCCCTGTCAGGGCCC